GCTCCAAGAATCTCAGCAATCAGCAGCCCTTCATTGTCACTGGGTTACTAAATTCCTAATTTTTACTGAAGAACTAAGAGCACTGTTTTGCAGGACATCCCAGTGAACATATCCAACGGTGTGCTTTGTTCCTGACCATACTGACCTGGAAAATTCTGGAGTTTTCCTGCCTTAAGACTGTCTATCTACCAATGGAAGGAAAATTACTGACCCGATCCATTTATGCTGACAAACCCTGTGAGCTTAGCAAGAACTGCCCACAAGCATAAAAGCACTTCACCTCATTAATATTTATGGTCTGGAATCTGAAACGCCCTTCCTGGGCCTCCGAAGCTTTCCAGCATCTCCAGGGCCTGGGGGGAGGCTGGAGCTGGGCTGGGGATGTCAGGCACTGCTGTGGCCTGTGCCCCTCACCTCCACCACTGCTCTGCCAGGTTGGGACTAACAGGAACAAGCAGCACAGCTGAGTTTTAACCATTTCTGGTCGCTTTTCTACACAGTTTTGTGCCATAAGCAACCCACAGGTAGGGCAGAGCTGGGTTGCTGGCATTGCCCTCCTGCACTGCAATCAGAATGCCGGGGGCTCTGCCACCACAATCAGGCTTTACCCGTCCCTTCCCAATGAAGACAGGAGTAATTCTGACACAGACACGCTATAAACTGCTTCTGCTACAGGATAAAACAGTGCTGGTCCCTTGAGGCTTGATAGCGGGGCTTTAAAAAGCTGTTTCCTTCCATTACAAATCATTTATTTGTGATAAAATCTTGATACTACTCATTTTGCACACACAAATATATGTGCACAGAAGCCTACAGCATTTTCTTTTCATGTTGGATTTTGAAGCAGTGTATAACAAAGAATGGGCAGAACATTTATAATTAAAACTATTTAATGACTCCTACCCCACCCAAAAAGCAGCATGTGTGAGCACAGCCCTGGTCCTTGTGCTCCCACCAGAACAGGTTGAATGGATCTATTTTAATTCTGCATTGCTTTTACAAAAATGGCTGATTCTGCACTGAAAACTGTTAGTTTTGTCCTTTAGAAACCTGGTTTAGGTTAATTGCTGGTATCATTCCCTAATTATCAGGGGTATTTCATTTGGGTACACAGTGCATATGAGTGAATGTGATACACTTATATATACTTTTCATGTAATTTGTAAATCATATTAAAATGTTTTTTAAAAAGACAAATCTCTTAGAAGATAGTCATTATGGTGATGGAGAACACACAATAGCTATAAAATATATTTACATGTTGTGTAACATACAAAATGCTGGGCAATATCCCTATTTTTTACACAAATAAACAGCATCAATTTGTTTTCCAACTAAATAAAATAAGAGAAGAAAGAGAAGCTGTGGCTGCCCCATCCCTGGAAGTGTCCCAGGCCAGGTTGGGTGGGGCTTGGAGCAACCTGGGCTAGTGGAAGGTGTCCCTGCCCATGTCTGGGGGTAGAATGAGGTGAGTTTTAAGGTCCCTCCCAACAAAAAACATTCTGGGATTCTAATTTAAAATATTTGTCTTCTATATTTGCAATAATGGGGATTTTATAAATGTCATTGTCAGTTAACCCTTAGAGAAATCTCTGTTTGTAAGGCCTGGGCAGCGAATTCATGACTGGAATCCCTTATGGCACCTGCATCCATCTGCTGCCACAGCTGGAAGGGCTGGAACGATCCTCAGGACATAAATCCTTGGGCTGGGAGTGTCTCCAGGGGCAGCTGGGATCAGGAATGTGGTGTTTGAGGGGCTCCCGGGAGAACTGCAGACAAAGCAGCCATTCAGCTCCACTCAGCCTGGGCAGACGGGGATGGATTTTCTGTCCTTTCCCAATGAACCTGCAGGAACAGGAGCAGGTTGGTGGCAGCAACCAGCGCTGCCGGAGCTCCCAGGGCAGGGGGAGTGGGATGGTGGGATGGCACCTCTCCGGGTTCACCTCCAGCAGCCCTCCCTGTCCAGACCTGCTCACGTGCAGGTGTCACACAATCACAGTATCATGGAATATCCTGAGCTGGAAGGGACTCACAAGGACCATCCTGTCCAACTCCTGGCCCTGGCCAGGACACCTCAAAAGTCCCACCCTGTCCTTGAGAATGTTGTCCAAATGCTCTTTGAGCTCTGGCAGCCTTGGGGCCGTGAGCACTGCCCTTCCCATGACTTCTGGTCTCTTCCAGAACATGTGCTCCAATGCTAAATCCATGGCCAGGTCTCCCCTACAGCGTGAAGCCATAATTACACAACACAGAAGGGAATAAACCACCCCCTGGTTCACCTGTTCTGCACATCAGCTCTGAAGGGCAGCAGAAACAAATAAAGAAACAGCTCTGAGAAATAATAAATCATCACACCCTGTTGAGAACGGTCACTCTCCAGCATTATTCCTGTCACAGACCCCTGGGCACAGGGAGGGAGGAGCTGCAGCTCTGGCACAGGACAGTTCAGCAGGACAGGCATGTGGGCAAGCTGAAAATGCAGCACTAAAGCAGGAAAAGCAGGATAACACCTCAGCCTCCCCATCACCTGCTCCTGGGGAAAAGGTACACAAGGGTGTTCCCCAACAGGAACCCCAGGCCTCCGGGTGATGGCACTGCTCAATCCCACTGGAACATCCTTCTCTTGCCTTCCTTAGTATGGAGGGTTTAGGAAACACAGCTGCAATTAACACTCTCAGAGATCTGGTACATTATAAATGTACCAGCCCCCAGAATCCTACAGTCACTCTCTCAGTACAATCAGCACAGGGTGAAAAGTGGCTTTGATTTGATGACGGGTGAGTATTTTACAATCCCTTTAGTTCCACGACATCCCAGCGCTGCCAACGCGGGCTGGTCTGTCCGTGACAGCCGTCCTGACACTCCTCTCATCCATTTGCTGTATCCCCGGACTGTTTATAACATTCTTGTTTATAACAAGGAGGAAAGTGCCCCCTGGGGCAATGTGTCTTCAGAAAGCCATTGACAGAACAGAATTTCCTCTGTCTGCCTCTACAGATCTGCATGAGGCCAGGATAGTCTTAGTTACTTGGACATGTTCTCCTTTCCTGGGGGAGGTTTCTCTGGGATTTTTGCTGACCTGGAAGTGCAGGCACATCACTGGGTACCCCAGCCCCCTCCCTGTCTGCACTGAAGAGCCGCTCCATAAAGAAAAATTGATTTAGTGGAACACAGAGACACCCAAACCCTACGCACAGCACAGGTTTGTGGCAGACATGGTCACCTGTGCATGAACCTCTCCAGTGCGGTCAGGATGGAGCTGTCCTGCTCCCAGTCCACCTCACAGCCGGGCTGTCCCCTCCCTGCCACCCAGCTGGCACCCCAGGAGCCCCAGATCCCTACCCAGCAGGATTAGCTGCTGCAAGGTTTTCCTCCCAGGACACAGTCTGACCTACAACATCTGCCTGACACTTTATTGCGTTTGGAGAACCACAGGTGAACATGGTCCCTTTGCCACCTGTCCCTTTTCATTCCATAGGAATTAGTAACTCACTGGAAGGATTTGGCACAGTTACTTGGGTGGGGCTGGGCAGCAGCCACCCTGCGTTTATGTGTCTTTATCAAACCAGACCAAACTCGGAAAAACAGAAGTTTAAGACCTGACAACACAAAATCCCAGTAACTAATGATGCTCAAGAGTAAGTCAAATATTCCTTATTCTCATGTAATTATCCAACCAAAAATCTTCAGATTTGGGACTCTTCCCAGTATATCTCAACCCAAAATCTTCACAATAGTTTTTTTATGCTTCTATATGTGATCTTACATCAGCATTGGAGAGGACAGATAATATCCAGGAGATCACAGAACCATGGAATGTTTCAAGTTGGAAGGGACCATAAGGGTGATCGAGTTGATGCTGATCCATATGACACTATCAAACAGCTGCACCACTTTTTTAGAACTATTGTATGAAATCTTTAGGAATAAAGACCATGAATTTACAAAAATTTCTACCATCAGCACTGTGAACTCACAAAAAAATTTTTTTAATCTGGTAATTTGCATTTCTGTTAAAAATTTGATCCTCCAGATAAAATTTAGATGTTTTGTTGTGCATTTTGGCTTTATCAGAAGTGAAAGGATGAGGCCCCTGACAGGAGACAAGAAAAGGTTCCCAGTAATTTTGCTACAGGATGCTCAGAAAGATACGTTTCTAATTCCTTTGACGTTACATATCAGTATAACAACTTCCCCAAAGGCTTTGACCTCTGCATGTCTGGCAAAGGAACACTGTGCACATGAAAATGTAATTGTATAAATACATGGGGGGGTGTACACAAACACATGAATTTACAAATATAGTGCAATTTTTTTAAAAAAGCTCTCTTTATAATAGATTTTCCAGCTAATTAATTTTTCAGGCTAACACTGAGTTTGGTACATTGCAAAAATACGTGTCCTTATTATTTATGAGAACTCAGCAAGACCCAAATTAAGGGGGAGAAGTCTTCAGATGTGATGAGAACTGAACCTGCTCTGCTTGGGGAATGAAGGATAAAATGAATGATTATCTTTAAACCAACTTTGAGGACCAGGCTTTTACCCTGCCAGTCTCTGTATAGAGTTAGGCTGAGTTTTCTTTCTAAGAGCAAGCTAAGCATTGAAGGCACTGGTGTCTTGAGGGGAGGCAGACAGGACACCAAATTGCTGCTTCTGGGCACAAATTTGCAGGGTGTTTGCTCCCTGAAAAAGCTCTTCTTTACTTCCCACAGACACAAGAACACCCTGTGAATGATTCAAGGCCGGGTTGGATGGGGCTTGGAGCAATCTGGTCTAGTGGAAGGTGTCCCTGCCCATGGCAGGGGGTGGAATGAGATGAGCTTTAAGGTCCTTTCCAACCCAAACCAGCCTGTGATTCTGTGCTGTGTGTGATATCCCTACAACAACACAGGAATGGTGCTGCTTGGTCGTAGAGAGGATAAAAGAAAGGCTGGTTCCAGGTCCTGCCCCCTCTGAACCTGCCCAGGAAGCACAACCACAAGTTCCTGCTGCAAAATCTCAGCAAGTCGGTGACAAAGTGTTTTCCTGTGGGATTTGGCAAACCAGCAAGGAGCAGGCTCTGCACAGCCCAGAGCTCTGGGATGAGCTCCAGCCCTGCCTCAGACCTGGCTTAGCCGTCCTTCAGCACCAGGAACGTTCCTCCTGCCCCAGGGCCTCCATCTCATCCCGTCTCATCCATAAATTCAGACTGACATTGTCATTTCCGTGCATTTCAGTCTGGAGCAGTCTCTGAGACAGCGAAGCAGAAACACCAGGCAAGGGGACACTCTAAGCTTTTATATAAATTGGCAATTATTAACCCACTGGAAATCTCTTCATTATTGCTGAGCCCAATCTTGCTCTTCACCGAGAAAAAGAAAGAAATCCACAGGATTTACAGCACAGTAAAAGAGAGTAAAAGCTTTTGAGCCAATTTCTCTGTGCCTTCCCAGGAACGCCTTTGCTCAATGGGAGTCTCCTTGATGGCCTGAATTTCCCCTACACTTCACTTTAAACAAAGATGTTTGGGGTCACCCTGCACAGCAAAGATTTGCCAATTAGCATTCTAATGATGCAGCTCATTAGGGCCCCTGTGAGGGAAGTAATTTTCAGCCCCTTCCAGAATGCAGGAGCTCACACATGGGGTTGCTGATGAAGCCTTACAGGGAATTTCAGCTCCAGTAGCTCTTCATCTCCCCTGTGGATCCTCTCTGGAAGGATGTGCTGCTGACCTCGAAAAAACCCCAACCTGTGCTGACAGCTGGAGTACACCAGGAACACAGAACAACTTGATTATTGTTCGACAGATCAATATATAATGTGATTTAAAGAAAAGGATTATCTACAAAACAGAGGCTCACATGGACAGAGCCTGCACCAGTGCTGAAGGAGGTGGCCCCCCTGGAGCTCTGTGGGCTCTCACTGGGGAAATGCCCCCCATCCCACTGCACCTGCTATCTGTTGTCAAAATCATGGAATACAGACTAGCTTGGGCTAGAAGGGTCCTGAAAGATCATCTCATTCCAAGCCCCTGCCATGTTCTTCTTTCCATCCTTCTATCACTGAAAACACTGAAAATAATAATTTAATATTAATATTTTCAACGCTTTAGTTCAGATTGAAGCAATTAAACTGTAATTACAGCAACATCTTCTGTTACTAGTAGGAAACCTTTACAGCCACGAGTCAAAATGGATCCCATTCAGGTGTGACCCTTCTCCAGGGAGGGAGTGTTTAAGAGGGGCACAGGATCTGGTTTGGTCTTTCCAATTCTATCTATGTCAGTCAGTCCAGGTTAGTAAGAGGCAGCACTTTGTGTGCATTTATCAGAAGGAATTTATTTACAGAAGATATTGTGTGGCAGTGATGGGCAAACACTCCTTCCCCTCAGATGCAGCATCTACAGACACTTTCAAGGCCAGGCTCTGTGCTCTCCACCCTCCCAATGTGGGCCCACTCACACGCACACACAGAATGTCATATTTGGTAACCACATTTAGCTGTAAAGGGCATGGCCTGCTCAGTGTCCACATCTCACGGAGCGGTGGCTGGGCTGGGGCAGCCCAGGGGATGCAAAAGGACAGGGGATCGTAGGCAACAAAAACTAGGGAACAGGGAAAACTATCATCTGAAACCCAACAGCATCATGTCCTGGGTAATTCCAGCCTGAGGGACAGGTCTCCTTCTGCTGACCTGTAGGGGTTTGCACCCCGAGCCAGAAAGCCTTTTGGTGGGATATATTAGTGCTGGGATGCAACCCCCAGAGTTAATTTAGGATTCGATGGAATGTGTGCTTGGGCATATGCAGCTGAATTCCTAGAGTATTCCAGTACACAGTACAAGCTGGTGCATCAAGCACAGATTTTCCTGATGCAGACCTGGGCTCCCGCACATCCCAGATGTTATTTCCTTTGAATAAACAAATATTGAATTGAGTTATAATTAATGTTGGGGTTTTAATTAAACTGAGATAATCAAGGGAAAAAATGTGGATGCTCAAGCCTCTTCTATAAATGTAAGAGTTAATACCTATACAAATTTCTCTTAGGTAACTGACAACTTATTTACTTGGATATAGGTGAGTGCTACGCATCCCTGGGAGTCTCCAAAATTACTTAAACACACACTAAAAATAAATAAAGTAATATCCTAGAACTGCTTAGAAGAATAAAATAGCCTGTAAAGCAGCAGTTTATGATCCTGCAGGACACACAGTTCCCAGTTTCCTTAAGCTGCAGCACCCTCCAGTGGGGTCCCTGCTGATGGGTTCTCTGCCATGGGGACACCCCGGTCCCCCCCACCTGGCTGCTGTTCCCTTCAACCCACAGGAGAGATTAAAATTGTAGTGGAATTAAAAGTTGGTGCTTAATGAATGCATAAATTTGGTGTGTAAATAATGCTTTTATAAAGCAGCTTTCTCAGTGCCTGCACGTATCTGTGTTTATACAAATGCTCATGTTTCTATTTATGCATCTTTCTAACCCAAATATTTGTGTACCTAGACAAGCACAAATACTTATATCAAAATATTATTAAAAGCACGCTGAGAAGTTAAGCAGTTGCAAACTAAACCAGCCAAAGGCACTTTGAGCCCTGCCTGGCCTCCTGTGCCTGTGTCACCTCGGATACTGCTGTCCCACACTACCCCAGCACCCTGAGCACACCTCCCCCTTGATTCCTATTCCACACTTCAGAGAATCCCAGAATAGTCTGGGTTGGAAGGGACCTTACAGCTCATCCTGTTCCACCCCCTGCCCTGGGCAGGGACACCTTCCTTAGACCATGTTGCTCCAAGCCCCGAGGCTGGTGCGTGAGAGGCTTGGCTGGGGCAGGACTGTGGGCACAGAGGGGTTGGGGTTGGATCTGCTCAGGGAATAGGTTGGGCACCTGAGAAAACATGTCACAGGATCATGCCCAGAAGGCCAAAAGACTTTCTACTCCTTCACTTCAGGGAGATTTCAGTGGTTCTTGTTAAAACACACATTCTTAATAAAGAAAACATTTACTTGAAAACTAGCTTCCTGTTGAGGACTTGTCCAACAGACACTTCAGAAAGCCCTAATTAATTACAAGCCAAAACATTTTTATTTTCCTCCTTTGAGGGATTAAAGGCTTTTTTCGGTTACTGAATTCACAGATCTCACTGACCTCACTGCCCTGGAAAGTCTAGCCCCTGGGGGACTGGTGTGACAATGATGGGCACAGAGCACTGGGACCATGCTCTGAAACCTGCCAGCTGCCTAGCCAGGTTCAGTTCCCCCTCAAACATCCCTGGATCCTTCAATAATCCTAAAAACAGGACCTTTGGACAGCGCAAGGGTGGCCACTGCCCCTGTCCCCATTGTGGTTACCAGTAACTCATTACCAGCACAAATCAGGAAAAAAGTGAGTGAAATTGTGAATTTAAACACTTTTCTGGTTGCTATTTGTCTTTTCAATGTAAAATGAAAAATATTTTTATCTCCTGCGTTTAAAACGTATTTTTAAAAGCAGCACAACTGCTTGCTGTCCACACAAATCTGACAGTGTATTTAATTACCCCCCAGTAATTTTGTGTTGAGTCACCACCGATCTAGAAGCATAAAGTCAGCATTTGTGATTATATCACACTGAAATTCAACACCTAAATTACAGAAGTAAAATAGAGAGAAACAAATGATGTTTAAATAAGGACTTTGGTAATTTCAATGCCAAATTCAATGTTTTCTCTGTTATCATCTGAAGCATTTTAACCCAAATGAGAGAGACTAGCAGGTGAGGGAGTTCCAGAGCTCACAGAATCCCAGAATAAGGGGGTTCCAGCCCATCTTACCTGCCCAGAGCTCTGTCTCCTTCCTGCCCTGTGCTCCCAGGGATGGGATCTTTGCCATGGCTGTGAACAGGACCTTGTTCCTGGCCTTGTCCCACAGCCCCGGGTTTCTGTGCTCAGCTGAAGATCCCATGTGGTCTATGACAGTCTGGAATTTCTTCTGGATTTCCCCTCTTCAGCTGTTTTTCTAGAGGATTCCTTTTCCTTCCTGGTTCCTGCACCAGCCTCCTGGGCTTGGGATCTGTGGGATTTGTGCTCCCTTTCCCCAAGGTGAGGACGTTTTCCAGCTGACATCATCTTCCATTTGACAACATCTTCTGCTCCCTCTTGCTGCCTCCCCCAGTCCAGCACGTGTGGATCAGGGATAATTGTTTTAGTTCACTCTTTCCCAGGTTGAACTTTTTGCTGGGACAATGTTTAGCTTTTTATCATCACTCAGGGACAGCAAATTATAAATTATTGTGTCATTCTGCTCATCATGGTTTACTGAAAACTCAAAAAAAAAATTACAGCTTGATTTCCTGAATGTAGCTTCATGATTTTCCCTAAAACTGGGCTCTTGGGATATTCAACAAACCACGGGACAAACCCTGTGTTACAAAGAAATACCTTGGAACAAACCACTTCATTTTCACTCCTATTCATCTTGTCACGAGCTACTTCTCTGGAACTCTTCCTAAAGTCTTCTTTCAAAAGAGATTTTTAAAGAACTATGGATAACAAATATAAATGTGTGACATACAAACAGGACACGGGCACTTCTACACAGAAGCAATTTGCCACCTGCTTAGCAGGGAACCAAAATAATTCAGTGTATCTGAATTAGTTCTGTCGCTCCTGACAGAGCCAAGAGCTGTGTCCAGCAGCAGAGCCAGGATTCCACTGGAGGTTAGTTCAAGCAGCAGAGCCAGGACTTGGGGAAGGAGCCTGTGGCTGTAGGAGAGGGAGGAGGAGAGTTTTTGGCTTTCGTTGTCAGCTTAGTTCTGCCTTTTCCAAACGCTCCGTCAGGGATTTCAGTGGTGTGGATGTGGCCTGTGCAGGGATCTCCACACCCCCTGGTCCAGCCCCAGTCTGAAAGGGTCACAAGAATTGCACCTTCCATTGCCAGTAGCAAAGTATGAGAGAAATCTGGGGGGGTGGAAAGGGCAATGTCTCTGTTTTGGTCTCAGGAAGCAGGGCTGTCTTCCTGGGAATAACAGCAGGAGCAGCTGTAGTTCTCTCAGTAGGCTGAAACAAGACATAAAAACATGGATCAAAGAAAAGCCCGTCTGGGCAAAAACAACACACACGAAACTTCAGTAAGGTTCTATTTATAATTATCTCTTGAATTGTGCAACTGATAAAATAGGATTTGTGTTATAATCCATTTGCGTGGGGAGCATTTTCCTCAATACCATCTATGCCATGGTCATTTCTGGCAGCACAAACAGAAGTTGGGCAATTTATCCCCTACTTACATGGGAAAAAGGGGGATTCAGGGAGTACCCAGGGGCCTGTGGCACAATGCTTGGAGGAACACACCCTTATAAATGCCATGTTCTCCCCAAACCCCTCTGGTTGCTGTCCTGGAGGTAGGACAAGCTTCCTGGCTGTGAGCAGGTCAGACCCCACCCATGCAGGGAGAGGGGCTGAGGCTTCCATGGATTTCCAGCAAGGATCAGCTGGAGCAACCTCTGATGAAGTCATGAATAAGCATAGAATGGGTGTTTTCCCTGTTTCTTTTTTAAGCCTGCTGAATTTTTCCTTTTCCTTGTCCTTCCCTCTAAAGAAGGAAATTCTATTTGACAAGATTTTTTCTGCTGGTGCCCAGATTTCATGGTTTTTAAAGGCTTTGAAGATTTCCATTTTTAGGTTCTCTGGGGTGCCCAGGAGACCCTCCAATCCTGCCAATACAGCAAAGGGAAGGCTCTGATGCTTTATGAGAAGAAGAAGAGAGACCAGAGGTGACCCGAGGGCTTACCTTGTGCATGGGGCCTGAAGGGCTATGACCAAAGAATGAAAGCTAAAGAGAAAAATAAAAACAAAAATAAAAACTGAAAAGGGGAGGGAAGAGAGGAAAAAAATGGAAGAGAAGAAAGAGATTAAGAGTTTACAGTGTGTTTAGCTGAGAAAAAGCTGTGGTTACAGACAGAGTGCAACAAAACTCCCAGGTGAGAGGAAATATGGAGTGTGAAGTTGGGTCCAAGGGCTCGGGGCTCCACTCAGCTCACCAGAGCCCATTTGTTGCTTGGACTGGTGACAGTCATCCCCTGCCTCCTGAACCCAGCCCAGTCACAGGCTCAGGGAAAACATCATCTGAATTCTTCTGACATCTCAAAAGCCCCCAAACCCAACCCTGATGAGGTTTGGGTTCAGTCTCAAGTGCAAGTCCAGCTCAGCCCTGTTGGCCCTGACCAAGCTGTCCCATGGCCATGTCACTGGAAATGGGTGTGTTCAGCTGAGGCCAATTTTGGGGTCAAATACATCAGTTCTGACTGGAGAAAGGCCAAAGACAGGAACTGCAGTGGCAGTGAGGGCTGTGGCTGCAGGTGAGGGCACGAGGGCGAGGCTCCTCATTCCTGCTGGGAAAGGCTGGTCCATGCAGCTGCACGGGAAGATGCTGGAGATGGGAGGGAGGGAGCAAAGATCCTGGCTCCTTCCCCAGAGCACCTGCTGACCTCAACCCTCGCTCTCTCCCTTCCCAGGGTGGATGGACCCCCATCTCTGCCAAGTCCTGCATTATGGACTTCACTGAAGGACAGCAAAAGGAATGATTCAATTTAAGCAGTCAACCTGTCCTTCCCAGAGGGACTGATCCAAGTGCAAACTGGTTTCCTGGAGCTCTCCCACTTTCTCTCTGCACTGCACACACGAGCTCTCTAAGGACATTTCCTTAGCCCAGGTGAAATGAATAATGGTCATGTGCACACACAGCAGCTGTCCCAGCTGCATGACCTTACCTTTTCCTCTAACTCTTTTATTTGTCTTTTTTGGCCTTCAATTCTTTCTTCTAGCTCTTTAATTCTCTGTCAGATTTCAAATAAAAAAATATTTATTAACCAATCAAATAACAGATGTACCCAGAAGATGCATTAGTTTGGGGGATATAAATTGGATGTGCTGTGCTTCTACCAAAAATACATTGGGTATTAAGCTGCAGGTGAGTCCTCTGTGAATGTCACTGTGGGTGACGAGGTCAGGAAAACCAAGATGCCGGGTTATCCAAGGTGCAGGGTTATCCAAGGCCAACCAACATCTGCCCCAGGACCAGCCAGTGGTGGGACAGCTCTAGGAGGAGAGGCTGGTGCTCACAGGAGAGGCTGGTGCTCACAGGGACCGTCCCACCCTGGATCCCGCCCTGTCCTGCCCCTCTGCCCACCTGCTGTGCGTGCTGAATGAGCTCCATCCTTTCCCGCAGGATTTGGGCGTCCCTCTCCCGGAGCTCACTCATCACCTGCCGCTTCCATTGCTCCACGGCGCTCTTCAGCTTCTCCTTCTCCTCTTCTGAAAGAAGTTCGGAAATTTTGGCTCCAGCTTCTTGCTGCAGGGCATCATAGAGCATGGCTTCTAATTCCAGAATTTGCTAATCAAAAACAATATAAGGCTGTCAGCTCGACCTTGTCCCTGGTGGGGTGAGGAGTTTGTGAGGAACTGAACATCCAGGTAAGGCAGTGGGAGCAGTGGAGGGGTTTGTGTGCTGAGCCTCCCACACAGGACAGCACGTAAAACTCAATCCAAAGGGAAAATACTTCAGGCTGCCTTTATCCCAGGGGGTTCTGAGTAGCACCGGAACTGGAACAGCTCTGGGCCCAGTGCAGTCTGCCCCTCATACATGTGTGGGGGTCAGCTTATCCTTCCTGGGGGTGGGAGATGGCCGTGGGGAGAGAAGGGAAAAGGAAAAAAAAGAAAGGAAGGGGGAAAGGAAGAAGGGAATAGAGAGAAGGGAAAAGGGAGAAGGGACATTCAAAGAAGACTCATTTTGTGAGTTACAGATACTTTTTACATGTAGTTTTCAGTCCCTCGGTTCCCCTTTCCCATCTCTCCAGTTCACAGCAGCAGAGAACACGGCAGGACCAGTCCATGCTCCTGCCAGGAAGAAACAACTCCCTGCTGTGTGTGTGCAGATTTTGTACCAACCAGCTGAAATGCTTTGTGGGAAGGCGTTCCCAGCCCTTCCTCTGGCAGAGCTCTCAGCTCTGAGAGGCTTCATGCTCAAGGAAATGAACCTGTCTGGTAGCTGGGCTCTGCTCCTGCAGTCTCAGGCTGCAGAGCCTTCACTGTGTCAGAAAGGGCGCCTCACGCAGGCGGATGAGCCCTCTGGATTCACTGAGATGGAGAAGTGCATGGGAAATGGGCTGGCAGTGTTTCCCCAGGGTCACTGAGCCTGGCACCCTCCTAGGGCAGGTGGCCTTGCCAGACAATGTCTTCTGCTTTGGAATCCAAGATAAATGCTATTCCCTCAGACAAGCCAAAAGCAAGCTGCAATCTTTTTCAGCAAGTTTGATACAGAGCAAGACAAAGGACAGCAACTGATGGCACCTCTGCACACCCTCTCCAGAGCTGGTGGCATCTTGCAAAGCTTTCCCTGGCCTCAGAAGAACCCCACTGCAGTAGAACCACAGAATTCTTGTGGCTGGAAAAGTCCTCAAGGTCCATCAAGTCCAACCATTCCCTCAGCACTGTCAAGGCCACCACTAACCCATGTCCTCCAGTGCCAGACTGGGGACATGGCTTTTAAAGCCCCCCAGTGCCTGTTGTGATAATTCAGCTCAATTCAAAATCATGTTTCTCCACCCGAGGCTGCTGATGGTGTTTCCTCACGATGGCTTAGCAGAGCCAGGACAGCAGAACACACTCACAGGGACAGTGACACCCTGGCAGAAGTTACAGCACTAATGATAACCCACCTCCGTGGGGAAGATCACATCAGATCTCAGGAGAAGATTCTGCTTTCGCATTTTAAAACAACCCCAACACCCTCACTAACCTTGTCCCAACAAAACGCTGTTACTTGAGACATGGGTTTGTGCTTGGCCCCAAACTGCTGGGCCTGAGCACATTCCCTGTCTCCAGAGCAGCAGCAGTGTGAGCCAAGTGCTTTTTGGAGCAGAATCCCCTCCAGCAGCCACTGGAGTGAGAACCATGCAGACAGATTAGCGGTTCCGGCTGGTAATCTTGTTGGCTCCAGTTCAGGAGGGATGGTGATTAGCAGCTCCCATCTCCAGGGGCACAAAAGAAGCATGGAAGTGAAGCAAATTTTATAAAGCAGAAGAGCTTTTGCCACTCGAATTGTGGGGCAGAACAAAGCTTTCTGTTGCTTTCAGGCTGCATTTGTGCCCGGGAGCAAAGCCCAGCGCTGTGCCTGGGACATGTGTGTGATGCCTTCAAAAAATACAGGAAAATCAAATAACCCTCTGCCCCCTCTGCATGGGCTGCACAGAGTCATTGCACTCACTCCTTCTCCATGAGCAGCAGAGCTGAGGAGCTGAACTGTTGTTGGGCCCTTTGGTAAATTTGGGATCCTGGACTGGGAGATCCATCTCATGGCTGTGAGCTGCAGGGGTGCTGAGGGACACCTGAATCCACAGCAATGGCTCCATGTCTGAGCTCTCCTGCATACTCCATGACATTCCCAGGAGTTTCAAGTGATGCCATATGCTTTTTCCACTCTGCTGCTGTTGTGAGTTTCCACACAGATTTCTGGCTCTGTTCAGAACTCACCCAAGACCCAGCAGATCTCTGCTCTCAGGGCTTAACTGTGAGGATGAGTCCTACAGACTCTCCCTTTGGCTGCACCAAACAGCTTCTTAGGGCATCTCAGTGCTGCAAGAGATCATGGAATCACAGAATCCCAGACTGGTTTGGGTTGGGAGAGATGTTAAAGAACATTTTGTTCCACCCCCTGCCATGTGCAGGGAACTTCCCCTGTAAGATAAGGCTGAGACCACAGGTAAGGGGTGCTTGTGTAGTTCCCAGGGTTTCTACTGTGCATTGGTTCCAGAGACAGCTCAGCATCTGGCAAAATCAGTCATAAAAATCACCCTCACAGGACAGAGAGTGTATGGAGTAAAAGCTCCCCCAAATGGTTTGAGATACAAATAGATAACAGGATCCAGAACCAGCCCTAAATACTCATTGCTCCTCAGAAAGTGTAACTGTGCTCAAGGTTTACACAGAACTGCAAAAATTAAATAGAGATGAAAATTTATGCATTCATGTCTTTTGTGAATATATATTAAACCTTTCCCTCTCTGAAGGAAACAAGACAGCTGATGACTGAAGGGATGGGTGAAATGCCTTAGGATCAGCTAATGATGAGCCTGACCTAAGAGTAGTTTCATTTTGAACTTACAGAATCCCAGAATCCCTCCAGCTGCTTTGGTTACAGAGGCTGTAATCCAAGATCCAAGGAAATGTCTAGGTTAAAATATCTATTTTGGAAAGAAAAGTTACTGAAAACATAATTTCCTTACCACTCCTTTACTAAAACCTCTGGTGAATTAAAACTTGTATTTCCTAAACCTGCAAGTGCCGCCCAAATCCAGGGAATTCTGTTCATGAGGAACTCATGGTCAGCTCAGGGTGCAGAGGATCTGGCTAACACTCAGCCTGTCACACTCCATGAGCAGAGAGTGTCTACAGGGAACAGACCACACACATCACACCAGGTGAGTTAATTGAGGTGTAATAACTCAGTCAAGACTGATGTCCCTCACCTTGTGGGCCTGGTCCAGGGACTGCTTCCTGAAGTCCAGCTCATCGTCCAGGTAGCCCTTTTGTTTGCTGAACAGCTCCTGGGGACCAAGGAAGGGGCTGTCAGTGACCACCACACCCCACCAGGGGTCCTCCAGCCCCTCCCCTGCTGCTCCTTCCCCGGTACCTTCTCGTTTTCCAGGTCCAGCATTTTCTGCTGCAGCGCCGACTCCGTCACCTCGATCTGCTGGAGCCACTGCACAGACAGAGAGCAGAGCCAAGCCTGAGCAGGGCACACCCTGTGAGCCCAGCTTCCCTGGGACTCAGGGTGTGTCAGCACACAAGTACTCAAATAAAAGCAAAATTAACTATACAATTATATTTTTCTTTTCTATATATTGGTGATGAAAAAATGGTGTATTTCAAAGCCTGGCCATTACCTTCTGACATTGCTTTGTTAGTTCAGTACCATTTTAAATTAAGCAATGTCTGCATTGCCAAAATGTTACCTTTACTTTGACAAAAACTAGTGTAATTACACATAAAGCATTGTGGCGTTTTGTGGTGGAGCGATCATCTACATCACCAGTGTGTATTCTGAGAGACACACATGTACTGAGGAGTGATGCCCTGGTTATTACCTTTTCAGCCAACGTGAGGACAGTCCTTGCTTGTATGATGACCACTTGCTCTTCGTTGGTCAGATTCTGCATCAAAACAAAATACAATTAGAAAAAATCCCAGTGTCTTGTTATTAACCCACTACTTAGGCCACTGCAGTATTACATAAATCTGAAATTAAATATGTTTAAGGAACAATAAACCAAGGCAGAGAAAATTAGTATTGTAATGCAACATTGTTGTAAAAGCCATTGTCAATATTCATATCGAATCCTTATCATACACGGAGTTAATTCTCCTAAAATTCTCATATTTACCAAATAAAAAAGGTGACACTGGATCTATTTTTACCCAAAAGAGAGTAAACACATAGCTACACAGGACAAGATCAAGCTCAGCACAAAGTGCCACTGAGAGAAGAGACACAGTGTCCATCCCATGCACAATCCTCACTTTGCCAGCCAAGCCGTGATTTTGGGAAGCATTTGTTGAGATGTTGGCTATTCCATCCATCTTCTTTTGCTTTTTAATAAAATCAAAGTAGTGAAACAGAGGTTTGCATTTCATCCCAAACTTCAGTCTGACACAGATACAACAGGAGAAGGGAATCCCCTCGGCTGGGTCTCGCTTCTGTCCGGACCCAGAGCAGCATCAGCCTGCGGGGCAGGGTCAAGGTGGTGATCAGGGTGACTGTGATGAGCTTCAATTCAAGGCACAGCCTGGGGACAGTGACAGTGCTGTCCAGCAGGGATAGAACTGTAGAATCCCAGACTGGTTTGGGTTGGAAAGGACCTTAAACCCCATCTCATTCCAACTCCCCTGCCATGGGCAGGGACAACCTTCCACTATCCCAGGTTGCTCCAAGCCCCATCCAACCTGGCCTTGGACACTTCCAGGGATGGGGTAGCCACAGCTTCTCTGGGCAACCTGTGCCAGGGCCTCACCACCCTCAGGTACTTATAGTTCTGTTACTTCCAGGCTGCCCTGCAGCCCTGGGAATGGTGTTTCCATGTTATCCAACCTGTCCAGAGGCACAGAGAGAGCTGGGGTGCAGCCCAGGTGCAGAGCTGTGAGAACGGTGGAGATCTTTCTGCAGCCCCAGTGAAGGTGGTGGGGTCCCCTAGGAAGACCCCAGAGTGGATGAGGGCTCTCTAAGACCCTGGGCTGGAGAGGGCTCTGCTTTCCTTGGCCCCTCACAGCCCCGGGTGCTCTGCTGAGAGAGGAGAGCACAGGAGAAGATACACAAGGACACATGGATCTCCCATGCACACAACCATTTGTGTGATTAGTCACTGCCACTTGCTGAAGGAAAACACTTGCAAATTTCTTATTATTTGCTTACCTCTTGTTTAATGTCCTGGTTACTATCAAGGGTTTATAGGTCATTAAACAAAATTAAAACACAGCAGTTGCTGAAATGCAAAAGCAAAGCAAACGCAGAGCAAGCAAATCAAGAAACCATGTGACCAGTGGCCAGAAAACACCAAACACCAACATTATTTTCTAAATAACAGAAATATTAAGACCAAAATGGTGACATTGAGCCCCTGTGTGGCACTTCAGCAGGCTGGTAACAAAACCTTAAAAAGCCAGAAAATGCTTCTCTTGCAGCCCAAACAGAGCAGGACAGGCTGTGCAGCACCAAGCCCAGGCGGCCTTGCTCGCTTGACAGGAGGACAAGTATTCCCCAAAGCATGCACAATTTATTAAAGGAACATACACTTACGGCGTTATCCCCTAAAATGTCCAATTTTTTCATCAGCTCTGCTACTACTATGTCCTGACAAGAGAGAAATGGAGAACCAGGAGTCAGCACAGAGTGTCTGATTTTGTTTAGGGAGAGGAGGATAGGAAAGGAGAATCCCTTACTGTTACACCTTCTGCCTCGCAGTACACCTGGAGGGGGCTCTTCCCCTCTGTGAACGGGCCGTGCAGGAAGTTGATGGCAGGGGACCGTCTCTCCCTCTCCTGAAAGGACAGTAATTCCTTGGTTACCCCCTCTGGTGTGTCAGTCACATCACAGAGCCATGGAAGTGTTTCAGTTGGAAGGGACCTTAAACACCATCTCATCCCACCCTGTGCCATGGGCAGGGACACCTTCCACTATCCCAAGTTGCTCCAAGCCCCGTCCAACTTGGCCTTGAACACTTTCAGGGATGGGGCAGCCACAGTCTCTCTGGGCAACAATAGATTTCAACAAAACTATACCATAATAAATACACAATTTAGATTGCATTGAAATTTTGTTTGTAAGTGACTGCTTTGTTAATGTCTCCTCAGAGAATTTCAGAACCAGTTTCCAAGAGCTCTTGGGTTCTGTCTGTACAGGTAGGGATACAGAAAACAGAAGGCTCAGGGGAGTAACTGCAGTGGCCACCTGATTCCTCCTGTGCAGGTTTAGCAAGAGGTGAAACACTGTGATCATTTTTGGCAATGAAAAAAAATTCCTTTCTATTTTTGTCTCCCAGGGATGATCCATTCTGGTTTTACCTCTTTGCTTTTTCAGGACAGAAGAAGAACAATAAAATGCACATTTACAGCACAGGCCAACTTTCTGGATCTTAAAACTACCTAAGCAGTAACACTGCCAGAACAATCTATGGTGAATATCAGTGTTGATCCCTGGTTGCTTGGGGTTTTCCCCTTTTATTAGAACTTTGTACCAAGGCCTGTGGCCTCGCTCAGTGCAGTGTGTCCCTCTCCAGACACCCCTGTTCTCAAACCACCAGTGCCTCTGGCCCTGGCTCGCAAAGCCCAGGGCAGGACCGTGGCTGTCACACGTGCTCACTTCCAGCTCCAAGATCCTGAACTCCAGAAGCTCGTTTTGGTCCTTCACGTCCTGGACATCATGTTTCAGACGAGCTTCTTCGGCTTCCATCTGTTTGATCTGCAAAAGAGACAAAGCAACTCGTCCTTAGCACTGTGAGCAGAGTCACTCCTGATCCACTGTGCACTGACCCTGCTGGGACAGGGCTGGGGGCACTGGGGACTGAGTCCACCCCCCCCGGGGCAGTGGGAGCATTGGGGGTCCCAGCCCATCCCAGGATCATCATGAGCAGGGATATATGACCCCAGCCATGGGGGGGACACAGGGCTCTCCCCCAGAGCCACCGTCCTCACATGGCCTCGCTACAAATATTATTGGAATAATACAAATAGAAGCATTGAACACCTTTTCTACCAGTTCCTGATTTCTTCTGTAGAGTGCTTGCTTCTCCTCAATCCACTTCATGTCCTTGGGAAGGAAAGGACCAACACAGAAGGTGAAGCTGGCAATGTTTAGCACCAACACAGCAGCAAATATTTCACTAAATCTCACATATAGAAGGACAGAGCAACACTGCATATGAAACTGTAACTTCATTGTTTCCTAAAATAACTTCTTAAGCTAAACTTGACCATCTTATTTTAATGGAGTCTGTAGTAAGCAAATAGAATGGAAACATTCCAGTGATTAAAAAACTTTTTCAGATCAAGAATTTGCCTTAAAGGGGATATTTCCAGCTATGTGTCTACTATTAAATTTCTATTTTGCTAAATACAAATGACATATTTCTGAAGATCAGGCAAAATAAACCTTATCTGGAAATTAATCTCTTAGTCTGGGGGATATATAAAACCCACAAAGCCCAGAACACTGTTTATCAGCAAGGGCAACAACAATAGGAGGTTAAGCTGGAAAGGCAACTATGAAATGATTTAATATTATTTTAAAGTTCTTCAAACAATTTTTTGTTTATTTTTCTTTTTGTTTTGTTTGTTTGGTTGATTGGTTGGTTTTTGCCTGGAAAAGTACTACACAAGCTGGAAGCAACCTGGGAACATTTCTGGTTCTCCAGCAGGGAGGCAGGACAAGGGCTGGAGTTGTTTGTGGTGTTACCTGTCCCTGCTCAGCCAGGGCCTTCTCCAGGTCTTCTATCTGAGCCTGGGACCGGTGGATTTCTGCTTGGAGCTGCTCACGTGTCTGTGGGATACGAGGGAGAAAGGAAAAAACAACGAATCAATAAATAATACACCAAAACCAAAAATAAATCCAAATTTCTCCAAAAGACCAAAGCTAACACAGGTATAGAAAATACTCAAAACATCAAATACTTTCAACAAGTGATTTTTAAAGTTCTTTGGCAGAATGAACTTGAGCACACAGCATCAGCCAGGAATCAAATAAAGTTGGTGAGGTGGGATAATGATTTCGAGATTTAAGTCCAGATTAACAAAACAGTGAAGCAGAGGTGGCTCCTCACAGCTGGTCACGGCAGGCTGCAGCCAGCAACCCCCCTGCTCTGAAATGACGAATGTAAAAAGCCATTTCGCTATGAAAACAAATGAAAATTAGTATGCCACAATTCTGGGCACACCTGGTTCCCTTAAATCTGGGGCAAGTTAAAAAGCTCAGAGCAGACCCCACATATATAACATTGGAGAATGGCAAATTCCATTGATTGCTGTGCCTTTACCACCTTATCTATGATTTACTGCCTTATCTGTGATTTACTACCTTACCTGTTTAGTACCTATTTAGGGTCTTCCTGTACTGTGTGTCATTGTTTACTATACTTGTATCCTCTTGCTTACTTATATAGACATCACCTTCCTACGCGTTTGGAGAATAAATGCAGTTATTATCAGCTGCCTTATTCATTAAATAGTTTTATAGAACACTTTCTGTCCTCAAATCATTTATCTGCTCTTTATCCTGTTATTTACACTGAAAATGATCTTGTTTGCATGACCTACACTAGTCTCTCTTTTTGCTCACTATGGAAAAATTAAAATCAGGTTACTTTTCTAGTTGGGAATATCTTGGTTCACTACGATTTTCATTCCAAGTGCAATCCCTAACACGTCAGAGCAGACATCAGTTCTGGGAATATGTCTGGGAATGTCAGTTTTCATGCATTTCACCTTGATCTACGGTTAAGTGTTCCTGGATAACACCTTCACACAACAGATGTAGGACCAAATTAAGGCTCTGCAGGTGCCTTTCTCCTGTTAAACATCAGCTGTTCGGTTCGAACCCCCTGCCATGGGCAGAGACACCTTCCACTAGACCAGGTTGCCCCAAGCCCCCTCCAACCTGGCCTTGGACACTTCCAGGGATGGGGCAACCTGTGCCAGGGCCTCACCACCCTCACAGCCAAGAACTCCTTTCTAACTCCTTGTAACATACAACAAACTCATAACAAATGCAATACTTTAGCCCAGCTGTCAGGAGCCTCAGGGGCTGCATAAGCACATGGGCAGGCAGAGCAGCACAGGGCACTTTGCAATTTAATTAAGAGAAAAAAATCTCAGCTATAAGCCTTCTAAACATTTCATGAGGAATCATGTAATCTCTCAGATCCCAGAAAGAATTAAACACCACGCATTATACATTTAAGGCTATCTGTCCTAGTTCTTTATAGAAAAAGAGCTTAATTTCAAGGATTTCCCATAAAAATTTCTCTCTGGATTTCCCTTAAACTGATCAGAGGTGAAAAGATTCAGCTGCAGCAATGGTGGATCCTCAGCAAACCCTTCCTTGGGAGGCTGGTTGGAGTGAGGGACCCCGGAGACCCCCAGCCAAGCCCCCCTGGCTGAGTCCCAGCCTGGCTGCTGCAGGTGTGCTTGAGAACAACCTGAGCAGGTACAGTTGGACCCCTCACCCCCCCTTACAATTCCAACCCTTTATGTTCATGTAATATAAGCCATGTAGACCTTAACTTCTCGTTCTGCATCCAGGGTCCCTCCCACCTGCTCCTGCAGCAGGGCATAGGCTCGTTGCAGGGCCTGGTATTCCATGGTCAGCTGCCGGAACCGCAGCTCTGTCTCCTCCTTGGCCATGCCCTGCAACCAAAACACAGAGTGGATTAGGTATGTTTTCTCTAAAAAGTGCCAAAATGATCACTTTTGAAATGCAATTTGGGAAGCACAGCACTAAGGATCTTGTTTATGTGCCCTCAGACTACTTCTCTTCTCCCCCCTAAACACTTCCAGAAAATGCAATACGGAAATAAAAAGATAATCCCCTGCCTTAAAAAGATAAAAACTTGCCATCCATATAACACACTAATGATGCATCACCCTTTCTTACTGTAACAGGGAAAAACATCACATTAAAGGTGAAAATACAACTTTCTTGAAACAACAAAAGGTTTCCAGTCTGGGGAGGAAGCCAAGCCTGACAGCCTCACTCAATTATTAAAACACGAATCCAGAGCTAATACTTGTAGGAGCAGTGACAGCAACATGAAAGGAGCCCTTCATCTTCTTCACCCTCCTTACAATATCCAGCATGGAACGCTTTCATGTCAGGCTGACCGGAATATTTCACTCAACATGAAATGAAATTACGTTGCTGGGTGCAGGCACCAACTCCTCACCAGCTGAACAGGGGAAAACATAAAGGAAGGAAAAACAAACAGGCTCATGCATCCACAAAGGCATTCAGATTCCTGCAGTGCAGCACACACCTGGTAACCATCACAGATCTCATGATGGAGACAGGGATTGTCCAGGTTGCCTCTGACAGATCTAATTACAGTCCATGGCACAGGTGAATGGGCAGCAGAGAACCTGCAGCCAGTGCACCATGGAAAGGCTGCACCTCATCAGTGGCAATTTTCTGTCTGTTACAAGATTCTTGTTAAACCCAGAACTGTGTAATGGTCCAGTGATCTGACACACACTGAGGAATACATTTGTAGGGTAGCCCTGTAAAATACCAGGAATAATAATCTCTTTGATTTGTATTACCTTTGTGTACTCTGCACTGAGAGCTCCAGAACAGCCCAACCTCCATAATCCAGCGAGGAACCAGCCTTTCCCTGGAGCCTGGAGCTTTAGGGGAATGCTTCCTGCTCCTTCCCCAAACACAAACCTCACTACTCTGGGCAAACAGAAGGATCTGACCCAAACTACCCGTGCCCAAACCTGCAGCCAAGCTCACAGTGACCAGACCTCCCAAGGACTGTCTGACTTCTCAGCCTTTTTAGACCTCTGACCTATAAACCTGCTGTAAATTTAATATTCTTATGATATATCATTTCCAGCTTGGCTACGAGCTGTGAAATTACTGAAGACCTGAGTTCCAGAGATACCAACCAACAAGCACAGTATCAAATTTAATATAAATGGTTAATTTTTTGGTCTGAGGTGAGAGAGGAGCGATAGAACAGACCAGGAATTCCATTAAAAATTAGCAGTGAGTTCGCAAACCAAAAATAACATGGATTTTTGATGAGTACCTCTTCTAAGTCATCCTCAGGAGTGCAGGGGGTTTGGTCTGTCCGATCAGTTTGGTAGGAGATGGAGGAACCATCTGACTCCAGGGAAGCTTCGTCGTCGTAGCCGTAAAATGTCTCCACAACCGGCTTCTGGCAGAGACAAAGGTCAGGGAATGTGGCCAAGCCATGGGCCCTGTCAGCCCCTGAGCTGGGGACAGTGCTGGCCCTGGACACCTGGATAAACTGTGCCTCTGTGGGACCTGAACCTCTGTGGGCACCTGGGAGGAACCTCAGTGCCAGGCTGTTGGGAATTCTCACTCTGCTGCTCTTTGGGAACTGGTGCAGCTCTTTACATGTGAATATACAGAAGTTGTTTTCACCCCATGCCAGTGACAACAGCTAAAATGATTTAAGTCACTGAACTGCCATATTTGTCATTAGGTATCACAGTGTGTGACCTCACAGCCCTTGCCTTTTTAAATGTATTTTCCTCCCAGTTTCTCTAAGGCCAAGCACTCTTTTCACTGAGTGTTCACCTCAGCGTAAGGTGGGACCTGTGCACTGAAATGCCTTTTAATCCATTGTCATCACCACGATGTCCCCCCTGCCATCACCAAAACTGTCACGTGAAAACTTAAGATCTTCAACAAGTATTCTATTTGAAAATGTGAATTTAATCACTACAGCAGTGTGTTCATGGTTTGAAGAAATCCAGTTTTCCATTCAAAGCTGCTTTTTGTTTAAAAGGGAGTGGTGGTAAAGGAAGATTTACCGAAAATGCTTGAAAGCCAAAGACAACATTTCACAGATCAAAAAATATTTTTAATTGCTGATTTACAAAAACATATCTAGATTTTGGCTTTTTGTTTTAATTTGCAGTGGGTAACTTTTGAAGGAGAATCACAGAATCCCAGAATGGTTTGGGTTGGAAGGGACCTTAAAGATCATTTAGTTCCAACCACCTGCCATGGGCAGGGACACCTTCCACTAGCCCAGGTTGCTCCAAGCCCGTCCAACCTGGCCTTGGACACTGCCAGGGATGGGGGAGCCACAGCTTCTCTGGGCAACCTGTGCCAGGGCCTCACCACCCTCAAAGGGAAGAATTCCTTCCCAATGTCCCATCTAACCCTGCCCTCTGACAGTGGGAAGCCATTCCCTGTGTCCTGGCACTCCAGGCCCCTGGTCAAAGTCCCACCCAGCTTTCAGAGAGAGATGAATGTGGCCCTCTCTGGAAGGCCTGCCTGCCATGTGCAGGATGACAGGATTTATCTCCCATCAACCTCAATTAGTTATTTATAGATTCATTAGCTCCAGCCCCACCCTAATTTTTCATCTGTAGATCACAGAGTGCTCATAGTCTCTGACATTAAACCTTTCTGTGCCATTACAGTGTTAATATTTACATTAACACCCTGCCAAGTTCTCATTAACTAACATTCCCTTTTCCCTGAGCTCCAACCACGGCTTCTCGTAACGGGCAATTTTTGCATGTTACTAAACACCACCATGAATTATTTAAAACATACACATGTTTTCAGGCAGTACCATTAGAAGATCATTTTGAGATGTGTTAATTCATAAAATCTGTCTCCTCCTAAGACAACCACATCCCACCAACGTCCCACAGGGTAAGTGCAGAGCATGGAAAGGCTCAGAATGTGCAACGCAAAGGGGTGCCCTGCCCCTCCCAGATTTTTTCTAAATATCCCAAAACGGTCTGTGAATGCCCTTGAACTACATCAACCAAATTTAGGCTTAGGACCCATTTGCATACCCTTCAGGAGAACATTCCCCCGTGTGGCCCCGAGGTACCTGGAGCACCCCAGAACCAGCACTGCCCATCAGCATGTCACTATACAAGCCTTTTCTTTTTACCTTAGGAATTCTTGTCATTTTTTTCCTTTGCTTCCTGAACCTTAACAGCTTATCACGTTCCTGCAAGAACCAGAGACATGTGTTAGCTGTTTGCAGAGAGCTGCTATTCAAATGAACCACATCAGTGCTGGGGGCCATTGGGCAAGCAAGAAACAGGAATGTCACTGCTGGACACTGTCACCAGGCATGGGCTAGGTTACTCCAACAACTTTCAGGTTTGCATATACAAGTAGCTATTGCTCTTTATGGCCATGAAAATCTAACTAAAGTAAAGCTGATTATAAGCAACACAATGCAGTGAGACCTTGGGCTGCTCCATGAGGGACTGTAGCACTCCAGCCCACGCCCAGGCTCTGCTCTCCCTGACAAAAAAGAGAAGCAGAGACTGGTCCTGCCCTTGGCTCTGGTGGCTATTGGTGCCTCTGAAAGGTGCACACACATAATAGCCCCACTGTACAAAATTCAGGGACTGTTTGAACTCAGCACTTTCAGGGTCAGCTCCTTCTCTAAGGATCTGCAGGTTCCTAGCGACCCTGGGAAAAGGCTTGAGCACTTACTGCTGCCAGCATTTTTTTCCAATCAGAGGAAATCATGGAATCATCAAATCCCAGACTGGTTTGGGTTGGAAGGGACCTTAAATATCACCTTCTTCCATCCCCTGCCATGGGTAGGGACACCTTCCACTAGCCCAGGTTGCTCCAAGCCCTGTCCAACCTGGCCTTGGACACTGCCAGGGATGGGGCAGCCACAGCCTCTCTGGGCAACCTGTGCCAGGGTCTCACCACCCTCACAGGGAAGAATTCCTTCCACTTTGTGGAGTCAGGTCGACTTTTTACAGCGCTGAGAAAAAAGTCTCTGTTCTGGACTGCAAATCCAGGCAAAGCCCAGGATTGTAGAGGGGAAGTTCTAAAGGGGAACCCGTTAGATCTTTCATTTTAACCAGCTGGTAGAAGGGTGTGATGACATTGTGGGACACTGACAATGTGCCACTGCCATGAGCCCAATGGCAAATCCCACTGTCAGCAGCAGTGGCAGAGGACAATCGAACACTCATTGCTTGGCAATGGGGAACAGGACATCCCATCAATACCTATTAGTGCTTAACTCTACAAAGTCCCTGCTGGTCATAAACAGGGATGACTCGGGCAAGGGCAGGGGCTGAGCACAGGCCAGTGTGGGTCACACAAAGCCAGGGGTAACCTGAGTTAAAAAATGCAATTCCCATGTGGCAGAGCTGTCCTGGACATGGCTCTTGGCCACTGGGGCAGGTGGTGGGATTAGAGTTTTCCTCTCCACTATCACTGTGTTTTTCTCTGGTGAACAACTGCTGATACAACGTCTACATTGAGAAACCAGTGTGCCAGCTCACTGCTGAACAGAAATGGAAGGGAGAACAAATATTATTATACTCTGCCTCCTTTCCACAGACAGCAATTTAAAGTGTACAAACATGGGGAGGAAGTTAATGCCATTCTTACCATGACACTCTTCACATAGCCAGCAGTCTCCAGGGTCTGATGAAAAAGAATTAAATAATGTCAGTAAGTGGACAGGCTTAAAAAGAAAGGAAAGAAAAGTTATTTTCTGGAGGATTATTAGTATTTTGGTGCTTTCTGTTTCCAGAGACTGAGAATGTGTTGACAAAGAAGCAAACCCTCTAACCCAGCATTACAGACCACCCTCTGTACACAGGAATCTTTAGCCCCAGTGATGTCTCCAGCTGAAGGAGCTCAGATACTTTCCCTCACAGGTGCTGGATTTGGCCACCAGCACATCTACCAGACGTGGCTTTGTCCTGCCAGTGCAATGCAGATGGAAAGGGTTTTTCCAAACACCACACCACAGATTGATTACTTTTATTACCACTAAGCACAAAAATGCCTGCCAGGTTCCACTGCTGTGCCTGTGGGCTCCCAGGACCCTGAGCATCCCTTGCTTAGGCTTCCTCTGCCCTGCCCTTGGTCACTCTCCTGTGAGAGCAGCACTGTTCCATCTTACCTTGGAGAGTTCATCAATGATGTTTTGCTGCTCAACAACTTGTAGTCTCAGGAAATCAACTTCTCTTTCTTCCTGGCTGTGGTCAAGGTCATTTAAGGAGCTTGGTCTCCTTATTGCTCCAGTTCTTTGCCTCTAAAACCAAAAACCACAGGGCAGATGAGGAAATGATCAGGAGGCTTTGCCAAAGGACTTGTCTAACCCTTCCCTGTACAATGAGTGGTGCATGTCTCTAATGGCTGTTCTGGCAGCTCTCCTGCTCTCCTTTTGTTGAGTCTCACATCCAGGCTGCAAATGTACTGGCTGGTCCTGCTCCTCTGATTGGAAAAAAGGGCAGAATCACAAGTGCAGATTTCCCAGGCATTACCAGGTGATTCTGGCAGGAAAGTCAAACCTGAATCATAGAATCCCAGACTGATTTGCATTGGAAGGGACCTTAAAGACAGTCCAGTCCTACCCCCTGCCACAAGCAGGGACACCTTCCACTAGACCAGGTTGCTCTAAGCCCTGTCCAACCTGGCCTGGAACACTTCCAGGGATGGGGTATGAAATGGGGAGATCTGTGCCCATGTGGAGGCTGAGCAGCCCCCGAGGGAGCAGTCGCTCGATCAACATGTGCAAAGCTCACACCACTCCTTTCCTTCAGAGCTATTTGTCTTCAAGGCTAAAATAGATCCTACACTGTGTTTTTTTACATTTTACATGTTTATGTAAAACCAAACATGTCCAAACCAAACCACTCCACAGCACATCTCATCAAGAGCTGGAGTGGGAGCAGCTTCCTATGGAACCAGTAGGTTTGGGATGATGCCTGACCCCCTCAGCCTCATCAGTTCCAGCCCCCCCATTCTCCCAGGAGCACACAGATTCTCACCATCGCGATATTTTCTTGTGTCACAAATTTCAATTTATTTTCCATTCGACGTAAGGCATGTGACAACTCCTCATTCTTCCTACTAAGGCGTTTGTTCTTGTCCAGAATGGGCTTATACTGACTTTCTGCTTCTCTGAGACGTTTTAACTGAAAGATAAAGAGAGAGTTAACACCTCTGGAGCTTTTTCAGTGAATATATTAATAATTTTCTTTAACAATCACACTAGCAGTATTTCCTCCTCATGAAAAGCATAATTGATTAAAAACTCTTGGTGTTTTCCTATGGGAAGAGATCATTCCTCCTTCATGAGATATTCAATCTGTGAAACAAAGGTTCCATATGGGGCATGTATTTATTTTTAAAAGGAAACAAAAATAATTCCAGCTAATGCCACCTCAAAAATTCGTTGTCATACAAGCCAAGAAGAGGGTGACATGGCACAGCACTGAACAGAGAGCAAAGGAGGGGCAGCCAAGATTTCCAAACAGCACAGGAGAAATATCCCGGCATTTCTGGGACAAGGCACGGCCCCGGCAGCACATCCCCCAGTCCCCATCCCTGCTGCCCTCACCAGCTCGTTCCTCTCCTCCGACAGCAGGGCGTTCCGGTCCTCCAGCTTCCTGATGATGCCGCTCAGCTCCGCGATTTTCAGTTGGAAGCGCCGGGCATCCTTTTCATCCAACTGCTGTTCCTAAAACAAAGATCAACTGCAAATAACTGTTCATAAGTGTACACGCCAGAGCAGGTTTTCAAAGCTCAAACTTTTTCTTATCCCAAATCCAAGCATTTCAAAACATTATCGGGCAGAGTGTAACCCATGGAACCCAAGTGACCATGGAAAGCTGCGGGATGAGACCAACGGAAAGTCAGGAGTGGAAATGTAACAAAGAATGCAAATGCAGAAGTATGTATATGTATATGTATATGTATATGCATATGCAAAGTCACAAATGGTAAACTTGGAAACAGAAAATATCCAACTGAAGGCCATGTTCCAATGATGCCACTGTTGAACTGAGAGCTTCAGACACATTGCTCACTGAGGTCTTGGCCATAAGAAAATGATATTAAAATTACTGAAGTGCAAATGGGGAAAATCCATGAAATTTTGCCATTGCAAAAGCTCTTCTTCCACAAAGCTGTGACCTTTATGGGGTCCTAAAGGGTCACTTGTCACTTTACTTGAGTGAAAATGCTTAAATCAAATCAGAAAGGAATAGAGATATAGATAGATGTGTTCTCATTCAGAGAAGTTACAGCTATTGACAAATGTGACAGACTTTTCCCCTTCTCTAGGACTTGATCTGGTCTTTGGCAGAAGTTGAATACAACTCAAAGAGGCAAATTAGCGCCCACAGTGCAGGTGGCACTTTTTGGGAGGTCTAGGGTTCCTCATTCAACAGGTGCAGGAGAGGCTTGGGCCAAAGAATGAAATAGATAGGTTTGCTCATGTATAAATTTTACACTTGTACTGAGAAAATCAAGGCTCTTGCAAAAGAAATCTTGATGAGGATCAGCAATGAGGACGACCCGCACACGTCAGAGGTACGAGGTCAGTTACTTGAGGGGTTTGTCTGAGCAAAGGAAGGCCAAAGCAGAAAGGGGCCAGAGTCACATTGAAAAAGGCACTGTGGAAGGGTGACTAAAATTGAATGTTTTGGATATTGCAGAAAATAAATAGGAAGGAGCAGGTTAGGAGGTCTTTGATTCACTTTGTGGCCCGCTGACAGCGAGAGCACTTGGCAGGTATCCCAGGGGGCTGTGGGGTTTCCATGCTCTCACCACTGACTGCCTTCCCCCATTCCCTCTGTAACTGGCCTCGTCCATCTGCTCCCCGAGCCCCGTGCTCGCGGTTCCAGAGCTGCACACATACATCACTTGGTGAGAAATGCATTTGCATCGTTTGTTGGCAGAATCGTGTCAAACTGTCAAACTAAGGCGGGTGGCTGAGCATGGTACAGTGAGGAGAAGGAGAGAAAGAACAGAGAAATTTCCCCCTGCTGACACAACCAAACCAAACCGACCGGGAAACAAAGCGACAGAAAGCAAAGGCTCTCCCATGACAGGGTTTGATTTGAAATCAATGGTTTGGATAAAGCAGGAGCACGGAGCGGGTGCCTCAGGCTCCCCGGTATGGCCATGGGAAAGCTCTTGCTCCAGGGAGCACTCATCAAGATTCTGTCACTTGGTGCCCTTTGGTCGCTGTTTAGGTGAAACCACGTGAAAGTGCTTACGGGGCTTCCCGAATGATCTGAAGCGTCTCCTGCACCACTTGCATAAGGAAGTTCCCGCTTGGGGCTGCTCAGATGCCGGTCAGACTCTTTGAGCTGGGACAGTTGTTCATCTAAAGCCTCCTTTTGGAGCTGCAGTCTCTGAGCATGCCCGGCTCGCACCCCTAACTCTCTCTCCAGCACGAAGACTGCTCTGTCCTTAAACTTAATCTCCTCCATCTACAAGGAGAACAGAACACAATCACACAGGAGCAGCGGCTCGACAACAGCATCCCGGAGAACCCCTGCCCACGGAAACACAGCACCGCTCCCGGGAGCCAGAACATGGACACCGGACAGTGAACATCAGGCTCAATCACTTCAGGAACATCGCCCTTCTCCTGGGACAACCCAGAGGGAAATCTCTTTTTCGGCAGGAATTTCGTCATTAAAATGATTCGGAAATACCCCATGCTCTTATCACCATTTCAGAATACCTTAAAAAAAATTAAAACTTAACATTCACATCACAGTTCGATTGGCTCACTCGAACATTTTAATGATTTTGCAGCATTTTTCTTGGGCATCACCTTTGGAAATTTTGAATTCATAATTTTTAAAGAAAAATACTAAAATGTGATTATCCTTTTATTTGCAAAATATAGAAGGAATGTATTTTTTTAAATTTTTTCCCCAAAAGTCTCTCATGTGAGCAATTTAATCATTCCCTTCCTATGAGAGGTTTTGCTTATACATAATAAACATTATGCAAAATCATTAAGTGCTTAAATGACAAATGTCCAGTGACCTCTAATTCTCTTTTTCCCTGTTTGCCTGTGCTGAGGGGCTGTGCACATCCCATGGGATCAGCCAGGATCCAACCCTTGTGAAGGGTGGTTGGGCCCTGCCTAATTATGGAAAATCCCTAATCCCAGCCCAAATTGCCTTGGGTGCCTGTGCTGCTGCACCCACTGCAGCAGGATCTGCGGCTCTTCCCAGCTGGATCACAGACACATACATTAAACATGGATGTAAAGCATTAATTATGCTCACACACTACATGTGTTACAGACACTGATTCTTTGGAAAGAAAGAAATCACATCCATCCCCTCAGGTGTCTGTGAGCTGGTTTAAGACACCATAAACACAAGATTTTTAGCATTAGTTTTTGAGACTTTAGACATTTAATTTCAAGCATCCCTTTTTAAACCTGGCCTGCTTGAAATAAGCACATTTTGCCTTGTGAGAAGTGTTAATACTTTTATCTCTGCTTTGTCTGTAAACCTGGAAAAAAATTACATTGGGGATCAACAGTCACTCCAAGGACTTTGTGGATACCAATATGGCCCAGTCAAGAGAAAAACAGGTGCTGGCAGGTCACACAGGTATCAGGAGAGTCAAGTGGAGCAGATGAAATGTATTTTGGGTGCCACGGTCTTTCAAAAATGTTCATGAAGGCAGTGCCTGCTAACTTTGAATGAAACAAAGAGATGGCTCCTGAGCACCTGAGGTCCTTCTGCTAAATGCCTAATCAGGGAGAAATCTACATAGATGTACAGATGACAAGGGAACACATCATCAAATGATTATTTGCCAAAATAAGCAGAATACTGGCTAGTTGATCCCTATTTATACGAAAACAAAGACATGTTACAACAAAGGCAACACATGAAATCAGGAGGAACAAAGAAACTGGAGAAAACACAAAACATTTCACAGCATTTCACTAATGGTTTGTTGTCCAGGAAAAAAAAAAAAGCAAACCCCAGACAAAATCATAAACCACAAGGAAACATCAGCATTCCCATTTTCCTTCATATCATTAAATTCCCGTAAGTGAAACATGCACACAACAGTTTGGTGTCTGCAGCCCGTTACTAAACACAAATGTTGCAGAAACAGCACAAATGGAAGGAAGCATTTCCCTGGAAAACGGCATCCAGTCATTAATAAAATTAAGGACATGTACAGACAAGAGACCCCTCAGAACTCACTGGAATTGGTGCCGGTTGCCCGGGGCAGGTGCCCAGTCCGGCCTCATTCTGCGCTGAGCTGGACCGGGGACACTCTGGGGCTCCTCTCCCTGCTCCCACCCCTGCCTGATGGCTTGGGTGCTTGGGAAGGGCTTGGGAAGGGCTTGGGAAGGGGCGTCAGCATGCAGGAGCATCCAACCACCTGCGAGACACCCCGCGCCGTGGATATTCCCACTTTATTCCAGAGGCTGGGATGAATATTTATGCTTTATGCTAATTCATACCCAGCCGTGAGCACAGCTGATGCCAATTACACAAATACAGCGCCTGCAAGGTGAAATCTGCTGTTCCCTCCTCGTGCTCCCCAGCGCACACCCGGCACAGCCCGACCCTCCGATGGCTTTAGGCCGTGACTCTTTCAAACGTATCGTTTCCATCCTGATTCAAACCCAACGCATAGTTCCTGCTTGGGGAATTTCTCCCTGCAATGTTCCTGGGGCCTTTGCAAACTGACAGACGCTGTCAGAAATGGCCTTTGAAGATCCCAGTGCCTGGGATCAAAGCCAGTCCCGCCGGGCAGGGGGCACACACAGAGGGGAATCCCTGTCCGGCTGGAGCTGCTCCATGACAGACACGTTTCCCAGCGGATACAGCGTCGGAGCTGGCAGCTAGGACATGTGAGGAGACCTGTCCCCAGCCTGGTCCCCAGATGGGACTGGTGGCTGGGTGATGAGGTGCCCAGGTGAGAGGAGAGGGGGTGGCTCTTGGGAGCGTTCAGGCACAGGGGGCACAGGGGACACATGCCCTGCTCGTCCACCTTCCCTCCCTAGAGATAAACCCCACCGCCTCCTGGTGAGACCTGTCACCCAGCAGCAGCAGCAGCCAGATTCACTCAGAATCTTGGCTTGGGTTTAGAGGGGCCCGAAAGCTCATCTTGGTCCAACCCCCAGTGGAACCATCCCGTGCCACTGGTCACTGCCATGAATGAAGTGTGGGGTGTCCCAGACCCCCTGGAGGCAGAAACCCCATGTCCAGTGCCAGCAGCTTCCAAGCTCTTCCAGAGGCCCCAGTCCAAGCCCTCTGTCAGGTGTGTTGTGGCACAGCACCACAGTCACAGCTCAGAAGACAGCAGGACCACAGAGAAAAATGTTTTTTAAACCCTGGCCTGTGAGACAACAAAGGAATGACTCAGAACTCAGGAGGTTCATTGACCTTGTTAAGTGTAGGGGTAATGTTGTCTGGCTTTTAATATACAACAAAATCCTCCAGTCCAGGTTTTAGTTGGAAAAAATACTGTTGGAAATGAGGGTCAAATCACAAATGACTAAAAAATGCCCAGCTGGCAGAAGGAATGACTCCCTTGAATGCTGTGTGCACCTTTCAGTGTAGGTGAGTGCTGAGCCACCTTTATAATACCAAATATGGGGATTTCTCACCACATGAAGGAATCAAAAGGAGAAGACAAAGACTAAATCAATCACCGATAAAATTAATATTTAAAAAGTCAGCTTCCTACCCTTTCATCTGATCCCACCCTTTAAATCAGACATCTTCACTAATTTACCACTGTCTGACAAGGAGCTCAGGGTCTCTGTCTGAGAACACAGAGGTTCAGAATGGTGCAGAAAACCTCCTTCTTCTCTTTGGCTATGGGATGGCACTGCCATGAGGAACCCATGAGGGTCTCAATGACCAGTGGTCTTACAGAGGTAATGGAGCAAGTTATTAAAGCTTTTTGTAGTCATCATCAGCTAAAGTTTATCTAAATTGAAAATAACCACAACTCCGCCTCTAATAAATCTAATTCACTCAGTTTTTCTGATTTCTCAGTACCCTGGTAAAGGAGCCAGGAGGAAGGAGGCTGCAGTGGCCATGGCTGTGCAGAACTTCTCCTTCCTGAGTAGTCTACAGCTAATTAAAATTTAAATGCTTTTCACCACGTTGAATTCTGGTTCCCATCAAGCAAACTTTGAGGCCAACTAATCACAGGGAACCCTCCTGACTGAAAGCTGCCTCCCCTGGCTGTGCACACACTAACTCAGGGAGTGCTCCTGAGCATACAAATGTAATTAAATACATCCACGTAGTATTTTAGGCTGGTTTAAAATGCACAAATTGAAATTTAAAACTGGTTTACTAAAATTAGAAATTCTCTCGAAAGGAGGCCGTTCCACACGTCCTCGTTACCATCTGCAAGGGAATTTCATCTCTTGCAGCACCATTGCTGAACGTTCTGAGCCAGGGACAGCTCAACTGGGTTAGTTGAACGTCTCTGGGGAGCCTCACGCTCAGACTGTACAGACACAAACAGCACGAGCCATATGTGCAAACACAAAACACGAGCCCAGAACAGCCTGAACACACATTTTGGAGAAACACATTATTCCCTTTCCTGGGCTGTCCACAGTGCTGAGAGATGCTCAGCCCTCCTGCATTGGACTGGTCCAAAGCCGTTGGATCCACGAGTAATAGTCACCCTGAACCTGGAAATAACTACAGTAAAGAGCTGGGATTTTTATTTGGTAAATACTCAGAATCACAGAATCATTTGGGCCGGAAAAGCCCTCCCAGACCATCGAGTCCAACCTGTGCCCAATCCTCACCTTGTCACCCAGCCCAGAGCACTGAGTGCCACGTCCAGTCCTTCCTTGGACACCTCCAGGGATGGGGACTCCACCACCTCCCTGGGCAGCCCCTTCCAATGCCTGAACACCTCTTCCGGGAAGAAATTCCTCCTGATGTCCAACCTGAACCATGTCTGGCACAGCTTGAGGCTGTTTCTTCTTGTCCTGTCCCTTGTTCCCTGGGAGCAGAGCCCGACCCTCACCTGGCTCCCCCCTCCTGTCAGGGAGTTGTAGAGAGTGAGAAGATCTTTTTGACTGGTCACAGGTTGGACTTGGTGACCTTGGAGGTCTTTTCCAGCCTTAAATATTCTGTGATTCTATGACTTGGAAATGAAGAGCTGAACCTATCAGACATCAATCACTTCAAAAACAACCTTGTGCTAAGGGGCTTCACACCATTGCAAAGCCAAACCCAGACGAGTACAACTCGTTTTTCTCTACTCTGACTAAACTAAAAAATAACTCTTTTTCTAGGCATGAAATTAAAATTCGCCCAAAGGCTACTCCCTCCTTGATTAAAACAACTAAATAATCCATTGTACACAAACCATGATGCTTTTAAACCCTGAGCTGAATCCTTGGGCAGCTCAGGGCTGGCCCCTCAGCTGTCAGTGCCATGGGATGCAGGTGTGATTCCAGAGCTCTGTGGGATGGATGGACCTGCTCAGCTCCAGCTCCCCTGTGTGTCTCTGCCTCACTGCAGCCCCACTGAGGCTCAAGGACTGCACTTTATGGCTGGGTCCTCTCTGAAAAGGAAGGAAACACTGGTTTCCAGTGATAGTTGAAGTGTTTTGGGAATTGCCTCATTTTCATAGAGAGCTTTTATCACATGAGACAGCACCAGCCTTTCCCCCAAACATCAGGGCCCTCCCTGCAAGGTGCCGGAGCCACCAGTCCACACTGAAATTATTTCTGGTTGAGTCAATGGAGCTGAGAGTACTTGAAGCCATCCAGGAAGCACTCAGGGCTTGGTGAAACCATGGCATCAGGTAATTTCATTAGTGGAGTTTAACTAATCTCATTCTTTCTAGCAGGAATTTAAAAAAAAAAAGTTTGATTTTCAAAGGCAATTTAGAAAACATACCATCAAACCACTCTATTCCTTATAACTAAGACCATACTTATTTAACAGCTTCTCCATTAAGGGCCATTAGTGGGGACTTTCCATGTGATGCAGCAAGTTTATTTAGGATGTCCATTAGCCACCCTTTCGCTGGGATGTATGAAATCAATGCACCAGCAATGAATGGTTAGAGGAAGGGACTTACTCTGCAGGATATTTGAACAGCATCAACAGATCAGTTGGTTACAAACTATTTTAACATCCTCTCTTCATAAAAATAAAATAATCTATGAAAAAAAACTTAACAACCTAAACTCTGAGAGAAGTGGTGGCTAAATAAAGGTAGGAAACACTCTCCTAGTGGTGTATCAGTCCCTGCCAGGCCCTTTGGGTCATCAGGACATGGGTGATGATGTTCCAGTCCTGGGATGGGTAGGAGGTTCTGCCAGGTGGTCCCTACAGCAAGGCTACACTGCCAGGCTTTGATTTGGGGCCAGGCTGCAAGCAATTTGGGCATTATTAATTGTTTTTTAGGATTTGGATAATAGCCTAGGATCAATGGCTTAGGAGAAACATGGATGAGTTTGCACCAGGACACCGTGTGGCAAACACAGAACGATGGTGACATCACAGAAATACTGAGACAAGACCCAAAATACACATGATGGGAGCATGGCTGTCTTCCCAGGTCCTTGGGGAAGGCAGAGGCAGTTCAGGGATACACTCCCTGTGCACTCACAAGATGGGAATCCCAAGGCAAGAGTCTGAGACAGCAGTGGAGAATAAACCACCCTGAACCCCAGGAGGTGCTGGTGGCCTGCCTGGCTCTCATGCACAGGCTCCCTGTAAGGGAGCTCCCTCCTGCAGGAAGTTTCCCCCTTTTCCAAGGACCATGATCCATTTCAATCTCCCCAGCCAGTTTCCAAACATGCTGGAGGAGCACTCCAAAGCACAAGAGTGAAGCTCTTGCCTTTGAGACAGGAGCTGTTGCACCTGAGGCTATGAAGCTGGATTAGGTGAGTGCAGGCTGAGCAGCCCCACACAAAGGGCCTGTGAGGATCCGGGGAGCAGAGGAGATGAGGATCCCAGGGACCTGCTGGGATCGGGAGCCTGTGGAGTCAGGCAGGAGAACCAGCCCCTGTCCAGGGGAAAGCCACCAAGGTGGGTATGGAGAGGAATTCCCCCTGAATGCCTTGCTGGGTATGTAGGACTCAGGGATGCAGAAGAAGAGCATTTTGGGTTTCTGTAGGGCTCATTTTGGGATGTTCACCCGAACTAGCAAAGGCAGGAAAAGGGAGGGACCAAGCAACACTTGGTGAGGAAATAAAGGCCTAGACCCAGAAACATAACTCTTCTGTAGCATTCCCCTAAGCAGTCAGGAACCTGAGAGTTCTTCCTGATGTCTGAAATGTGAACAACATTAATAGGCACTGACACGGATAGAGAGGTTCCTTACAAAACATCCTGATAGTTTTAAAAAACAGTTCAACATCTCTACTAGTAAATGTAAAACAGGTTTGAAGCAACTTCCAAATTTTCAAAACCCACACTTATCCCCTCAGCTGAGTCCAGCACTGATAATTTCCTGACTATCCATAACGTAAGTTAAACCACAGATGAAAAGAGCAACACGTACCAGCCTACGAATCTCTCTCTCGCACTCCCTCTTGATCCTGGTGATTTCCTCCTGGTGCAGGTGATACACACTCCTGATCTCCGCTGCTTTGATTTTGTCAGCTTGGATGACCATGGTTAGAGCCTCCTCCACTTGTTTCTTAGCCCCCTTCAGCTCGGAAATCTCCTGCTGCATTTTGATTTTCTCCACCTCAAAGCCTCTCTTGGCCTCCTCCTTGGCCTCCGAGAGCAGCACCGTTTTCACCTTGTCGGGACCCCCATCGCGCACGGCGTTGAGCAGGGTCTGCAGTCTCTGGATTTCATTGTCCTTAATTTTTATTACTCTGAGCAGTTCAGCTTCGTGCTGCCTCAGAAGTGCTTCTCGAACAGCTTGGAGCTCCTTCATTTTGTCCTCATGCAGTTTGACTTTGAGCTCTGTGACCACCACGGTGCTTTTATGCTGTTCGTGCTCCTTGATTTGCTTCACTTCCTGGTTTTTCTCTCTTTCCAACTTGCTGACCTACAAGGAAAAGCAGAAAGTACTCTATTGTCAATCAACAAAATGATTAGTACAAATTATTATATTACTTAAAAATTATACAGGTCACTTTACAATGTCAGAGTTCAATGCTGTATGTCTGTGTCTACAGATTCATAGCAAAGCCCTTTCACTGGATACCAGCACAAACAGAAATATCTGCATATTTAGAAAAAGAAACAAAAATATATCATTACCATTTTGCAAATTATTGATACTGAGGCTGAAAGCCCAGGTACCAACGCTGATTTTAGCATCTTTTTCTATCTTCAGAATTAAAAAATTATCCCTTGAAATCTTATGGACTGTTTAATTCACCCAAATCAGTGCTCTAGAAAGCATGTGATACACAATATAAATAATTAGCACAAATTTATGCAGGATGGAGAGAACCCATGTGACCAAACCACCCACATCCAAACACTGGAGGAAGTGTACGCTCAGAAACTGGGCTGACGTGGGTATACCAGGTGCTACAAACAGATTAATGTGTGAGACAATACACATCTAGGAACCAGGCAGTATCTTGTGAGTAAGGCTGAGTCCTTACTTTAGTCTGCAGAAGCTCTCACACCACATCACCAGTGGAATACATGAGAAGCCAGATGCCAAGCCACCCTTTTGGCTTGTCAGGCACAGAGACCCAACCTGCACAGAGCACACGTGCACAGGGAAGACATACAAAGCTCCTGTGAAACCCCAAACAGCTGCATTTTACCAGATGCTTTCTAAGCAATGAGTTATTCAGTGCAAATAACTGACTGTACCCGAGCACACAGTGCTCAGATGATGTCTCAATTTAAAACCATGACATGAACTCTAAAGTAGCCATGACCAGAAGTGGTGGGGGAGAAGAGAGAGAAGGAAATAAGAGTCCTCAGCCTTAAAACTGCAAATGCTGCTTCACATCAAAAGGATTAACAGATCTTCTATTTTTATATCATATATATATATATATGTTGGATTCATAGTCTGCAATGCCTCATAATGATACAAATGTATCAGGCAGCCATGAGTGGGGCAGGGAGTGGTCAAAAACAACAGACTACACTGAGATTGCTGGGGGAAGGAAAGGGAAGCTGCACACCTTACTCTTTTCCTGCTGGAGCTCTATCTGGATGTCAGTGAGCTTGGCCCTGAGCTCCTCATTGGCAGCCTGCAGGGCGGCCAAGGCGTCCGGCTTGTCCCCTCTGGCCCGGCTGCTGGAGCCCTTCTTGGACATGGTGAGGCCGTGGCAGGGAGGGCAATCCCGCCTGGAGCCCCCGGCCCAGCACTTGCTCCGGCTCCTGCGCCTCCCGCCGGAACACTACATCTTCCTGTGCCTGGAAAAGGGAGAGCACAGTCACACAGCACTGCCAGAGAGAGGGGTGGGCAGGGATGGGACACCACCACACATACGAGGCACTTCCACACACATGAGGGACAGGGCAGCCAGCTGAAGGGGCTCTTCCCTGCATTGAGTATGGAATCACAGATTTGTTCAGGCTGGAAAAGCCTTCTGAGCCCATAGGGTCCAACCAGCTCTGCCAAGACCATGGATAATAGCCTTGGATAATAACCCTATGGTTAACCATGGATAATAACCCTAACCCGTGTCCCCAAGTGCCACATCCACACAGCTTTTAAATCCCTTCAGGGATGGGGACTCCACCACTGCCCTGGGCAGCTGTGCCAGGGCTGGACAAACCTTCTGGTGATGGAATTTTCCCCAATATTCAACCTAAACCTGCCCTGGTGCAACTTGATGCCATTTTCTCTTGTCCTGTCACTTGTCACGTGGGAGAAGAGCCCAACCTCTACACCCTCCTGTCAGGGAGTGTCTCATCCCTTCATCTGCACTGGAATTCACACAGCGCAAAGGATCTGAAATGTTCATAAGGGATGTCCACACACCATCCCCTGGCACTGTCAAGGCCTGGAAAAAGCAACCCTGGGAAAACTACTTTCATAGAATCATAAAATCATGGAATCACAGGATCATTATATTACAAAATTCCACAGAAAAAGCAGCTCAAATTTGGGAGAATATTTCCAACCTTTTTTATTCTAATCTTGTTAATGTGGATAACAATTTCCTTGGATGATGACCTTCAGTGCTTTGGTTTATTCCTCATGACTCATGGTCAAAACCACAATGGAGCAGCACCGTTCCCTGTCGGAGCGCGAGTGAAGGGGCTTCACAGGTCAGGGCAGCTGTAACGAGAAAATAACAATCAATGATAATGTAAAATAGCAACTATGGAATAACAGAATAATAACAATAATAACAACAATAACATTACTCTGATTTGAATTCTAAGAGCAAAATCCTGACTCTATTATGGAGAAAAGAGCCAAGGAAGGCAGCGGCTCCAGGGATATATAAATGGGCTACAGAGCTGAGAGAAGGCTGAGACCATCTGGGAGAGGGGCTGGAGTTTGGGAGGCACAGGGCAAAGCTGCTGAGAACTGGAAAAATCACATAGGACAGGCAGTTACTACACATCTGTACTGGGTCAGAGGGACAGTGGGAAGGCTGAGACTTAAGAGAAACAAGTAAGAGAATAAAATAACATTTCTGATACTAATTGTCCAAATCAAAGTGGTACAGTCTCAGTTCTGCTGCTTCTCAGGCTGATACTTGACTTTGTAGCCTAGAAGTGTCTATAAAAAGAAACATGTTTGGTTGGGCAAATAAATAGAAATAAATTAAATTTTAAAGATGTTGCCTGAAAAACCTGTAACAGGAGCAGATGTTCTTTGCATCTAATATTCTTGCTGCTTTGTGCGAGCAGACACAACGCACCAGTGATCTACAATGGAGCTTTAAACCCTCTTTCTTTATTGATATAAAAATGGGGCAGCCTATAGCCACGGGCACAGGGCTCTACCTGCTACGACGAGTGAGGCCTTTGTGCACTTCACAATTCTTTTCTTCAGTGATCTCCTATAATGGCAGAGGCAGCGGTGAGCCAGGTTATCTCACAACCTGAGGAAACGAGCGGTGCACTACAAGCTTTAACTGCTTCCACTTGAATGGCAGACAAATCACAATTTGAATGGTACAGGGATTTGTGAGAGTAATTGCAATCAGGATTCCTTTTGACAGACAAGGGCTATGAGAATTTTTGCTTGCTTGCTTACAGAGAATAAAACTGAGGAACTGATACTGTGGAGCACAGTTCACTTGGTGGGAATGCTGTCTGAGGTTGATTTGTAGAACCACATGTCCTCCTGCTTCCAGTTCTTTCAGCTTTTTAATTTTGTTTATATGTTACCAAGGCCTAATTGTATGAGTTGGTATAGTTCATGTCAAGCAGCTGCCTAAACCTAATTCTCCTCTACTGAAAGACAAAATGTAGAAGGGTTGGCTTATTTCAAAGAAGAAAGGTTTGTACAGCCCCATTTGCTCCAAGCAGGTCCCCAAAACCTTTAAAGAAGAACTGAAATATTATCAAGAAGGTCAGAGGATCCCAGACTGGTTTGGGTTGGAAAGGACCATAAAACTCATTCAGTGCCACCCCCTGCCATGGGCAGGGACACTTTCCACTATCCCAGGTTGCTCCAAGCCCTGCCCAACCTGGCCTTGGATACTTCCAGGGATGGGGCAGCCACAGCTTCTCTCGGGAACCAACACCGTAAACATCTTCCAGACTGGAATGCTGAAGCCTTAACGAGATTTTCCCAGAGAACTCAGGACATTCTCTGATTCTGTAGTTTACACGGTCTGGAGTTGTCGGTCCATTCAATGCACACAGGGTTGTTATTGCCAGGGATAATAATGCAAAATTGGACTGCACACAGTCAGACAGCTTCTAGTGACACCCAGGACCTTCTGTGTGTGCAGTGGGACAAGTGTCATTGTTGGGCACCACGACAGTCACTGTTTGTACTCCTGGCAGTGCCGGTCCCATGGCCCAGAGCAGCCGTGTCTGCCGGGGAGGCCCCACGTGGAAGAGCCATCTGAGACTGCTGCATAAATGCCAGGCTTGAAACAACATTTCTGCCAAATGCTGGGAGAAAAACATGCCACAAAAACATTTCTGGGCCACCATCACTGTGCTGATACGTGTGTGCAGCAAGGAGGTGGTTTATCAGGGAACACAAACCTGGTTGCTCAGGCTCTGCTCTGGCTCCAGGTGACACACAGGGAGCACAGGAGGCCAAGGGGCCAAAACTGAGCCCAGACCCTAAACAAGCCCAGTCCCTACAGGGAACAGAGCAGCTGCCTGGGAACCCTCACCACAGCACTGGGCAGAGGAGTCATTCCCTGGAAAAAGTCACCTGCCTTTGGATTTTTCCCCTATTTTTCCAATGAGTTACATAGAAGGGGGATCTATCAGACACATCACCTTAATAAAACAGAAAGGTCCTCATATTTTTGATTCTGGGAGAATAGATTATGCATCTTCTTCCTGGTGTGTTTGATATTGAAAACAGCATCAATAATGCATCAGAGCTGCCTTGAGCTGGGCTCAGAGTTCCCTTTGCCTCCTGACTTGTAATTCAAACATCAAGGCTAATTGGAAAATGTGTTTTCTAGGTAGTAGTTTCTGAAATCAATGTTTCAGTGCACTTAACAATAAATGAATAAATCCCTACCCAGGGTACCAATATTTTAAACAAAACACAGCTTAAGCAACACGCTGTTCTTACAAATACTGCACATTTCCAATGTCTGCCACAGCCCCTGAGCACTGGTGTTTTCTATTTTTGACAAATTGTTCTAATTAATTAGTTTAGACAAACCTTGTTGAGCCTCTGGTGCACCTCAAAATTATAATAGAAAGAAAATGTAATATTGTCTATGGGTGAGTTCCCACTTCCTCGTATGAGTAATCTCCATGTTCCATTTAGGATTGCAGCAGCCTATAGATCTGAATGCAAGAAAATGAGTTTTCCTCTGAAACGGAATTTCATGCTAAGCCAATGCAATCACCTTCAGTGCTGGATTTGTGCCTTGGGGTTTTTTGTACAAACATTTGTCACAAATAGTGTATCATTCACTCAGCTGCAACATGAGAAGAAAACCTGTTGGAAATTACATGGAAAACAGAGTAAAGTGGTAGCTGAGATCAAGAAGCAACTGCCAAGGCCTGTATTGTCCCGTATCCAGGGTTATGCTGTGTATTTCCTGCACACAGAGAATCATAGAATCCCAGAATCACTGAGGATGGAAAAGGACTCCCAGCCCATCAGTCCAATCTGTGCCTGATGCCCACCTTGTCATCCAGCCCAGAGCACTGAGTGCCACGTCCAGTCCTTCCTTGGACACCTCCAGGGATGGGGACTCCACCACCTCCCTGGGCAGCCCCTTCCAATGCCTGACCACCCTTTCTAGGAAGAAATTCCTCCTGATGTCCAACCTGAACCTCCCCTGGCACAGCTTGAGGCCATTTCCCCTTGTCCTGTCCCTTGTTCCCTGGGAGCAGAGCCTGACCCCTCCCAGGCTCCCCCCTCCTGTCAGGGAGTTGCAGAGAGTGAGAAGGTCCCCCCTGAGCCTCCTTTTCTCCAGGCTGAGCCCCCCCAACTCCCTCAGCTGCTCCTGGTGCTCCAGACCCTTCCCCAGCTCCTTTCCCTTCCCTGGACATCCCACGAGGATTTTTTGCTTCTGCCGTTTAATGATTGAATTGAGACTAGTTTAATAAAACCCTGGGTTTTTTAAAAAATACAATCAATGTTGGTAACTCAACCCAGATTCCAAAGAGCCATATCTGACTTGTCCATGCTTCTGCTGACAAAGGTTTAGGCTCCCCACACTGCAAAGGTAACATAATCCATTACAGTCAGTCAGCTGCTTTAAAGCAAATCTCCATTTCCATAAGGAAAAAAACAACCAACCAACATTTCCCAGTGTGAAATAAGCTCTGAAACCTATCCTTGATGAAATATCTGCTTTAAATTAAAAATAATGCCCCTCTCCCCCCCAAACCCCAATATCTAGTACGGAGCCCCTGCAGATGGAAGTCTAGCCAAAGTTCTAGCGAGGATTAGATCAATTCCAGCAGCTGCTGTAACAGACACATGTCAAATCCTGACTGACCTGAATTTTTCCTCAAAGATTAATCCTTCAACTGTTGTTGGCTTTAACTCATTGATGGGTGGATCATGTTTACAAACCCTTAGCAAAACCCTGACTTTTGTAACCTCTACATTTGTAGTTCACACAGATTCCTCTCTGCAGACTCGCCTTGTGTCTGTAGTTTCCTGTTTGGTCACACACATGGGTCTAAATCCCATCCTCTGATTTTTCCCCATAGAGTTTTACACAGCTTTTTCGTTTGTTGGTGTTTTTTGTTTTGGTTTGTTTGGGGTTTTTTTGTTGGTGTGGTTTTTGTTTGGTTGGTTTGATTTTTTGTTTTTATGCAAACAACAATTGGGTATCAATTATGTGACTAGTTAATAGTTTATAGGGAAGAGCTGGAGCTGTGCCAGGGGAGGGTTACACTTGAGTTCAGGAGAAGGTTCTTCCCCCAGAGGGTGGTTGGGCACTGAACAGGCTCCCCAGGGCAGTGGTCATGGTCCCAAGGCTACCAGAGCTCAAGGAATGTTTGGACAACGCTCTCAGGGACAGGGTGGGATTGTTGGGGTGTCGTGGGCAGGGCAAGGGGTTGGACTGGATGGTCCTTGTTGGTCCCTTCCAACTCAGGAGAGTCTATGAATTCCAGTACTGTCAGACACAATTGCTGCAAAATCCCAACAGGTACATTTTAAAGCATGACACCTGTTTAATTTTACATCTCCTATGGCTAATTTCCAGAAAGAGCTATAATTAATTAAAAACAGAGGCAAGTATGTAGGAAGCTCATTTTTCTTTTTTCTCAGATAATCCCCAACATTTAAGGTACAAAAATCCTTTGGAGTTATTGCAATAACACTGCAATAGCACACCTATCCAAATTCTCTGTTAAAATGGAGCAGCTCAGCATAATTCCAGTGCTTTGGGGAGGATTATTAGTGAGGAATATATTTCAGACTAATTCCATCAGTTTAATATTGTGTCACTCTGTTATCTTGCTCTCAAACAAACTGTTAGAGCAATGCCATCCCTTTTCCCAAGGAATTCATGCCTGTATAATTAACTAAATCAACTGTAACACAGATGGCATCGCACCATCCAAAAGCACTTGATGGAAACATTTTAAGCATGTTATTAACATCCCTAAATAACTATTTAATGCTACCTCTCCAACCCTCTTCGGCACCAACACGCA